TAAACCATAGACTCGTGAGGGAGACTGGGTGAAAGAGAACTGGATTTGGAGTCTAAAAACCTAGTCTCAGTCCTAGCTATGTCACTTACCCACAGGTAGCGTTGAGCAAATCACTGTGATCTCTAGGCCTCTGCTTTTCAGTAGTGAATGGGGTTATTATTAGAGACCCCACAGGTTTGTTCTGAGGATGAAATGGGATCACATATGTATGTGGACTTATGCAATGCAGCTATGCATTGCTGGCCATAAAGTAATCTTTGTAAGAACCTACTATTTACTAAGTCACCCTCCATTATAATACTCACCTGAGTCACTGAATACTCCCATTGTTTCCCCCACTTTTTATTACCAAAATGTCCCAGTATAGAAAAGGTTGAAAGGATAGCACAAAGAATAACAGTGAGAAGCAGCCACATAGCACAGGGAGATCAGCTCACTGCTTTGTGACCACCTAGAGGGGTGGGATAGAGAGGGTGGGAGGGAGATGCAAGAGGGAGGAGATATGGGGATATACGTATACACATAGCTAGCTGATTCACTTTGTTATACAGCAGAAACTAACACACCATTGTAAAGCAATTATACTCCAATAAATATGTTTTTTAAAAAAAGAATTACCATATTCCTTCCAGATAGATTCAATAACTATTAACATTTTAGCATATTTACTTTATCTCTCTTTCTATGCATATTTATATGTGTGTGTGTGTTGCAGAACCGTTTGATTTCTCTCTGTCTCTGTCTCTCCATATATATGTGTATATATGAATAACAAATATATGTATCTCTCGCTTCTCTTTCTTTCTCTCATATATATATGAGCCCACGCTCCCAGGCCTCCTGCGGACCTCTCTTTGCTCTCTAGTTACCTGCCGCACATCTCTCTCCCCACTGGACTAGGAACACCTCAAGAACAGGGACAAGGTAGTCACCATTGTATCCCCAGGACCTGCAGGGCCTGGCATGGAGCAGGCACGTGGCAAGTGACCATTGATTATACACCTCTTCAACAAAGGACTAAGCAACATACACTTTTTTAAAGTAAATGAGTTTTAAGTCACTTCATCTGGCAAATCCCAGATCCCTGCTGGAGATAATGGAAGAAACATCCCAGAAGTGCAGGATGTTTAGGTCTTGCTCTACTTCCTTCCCCCTCTAAAAGCATGGGGACTCTGAAGCCACTTGGGGCTCTTGGTAAGAGGCTGCACTCTATGGCTGTGATACAGCTATCCATTTGCAAGGGGGAAGTGCTCTCCAGACCACAGTCTACTCTGGAAAACACACATGCACAGAAAAGCTGGCTCTGTCCCTATTACGGATCTTACAGAAGTGATTCTGAGTCCTTTAGGTTTCCATGGAACCAGGAACCCACTTCCAGACCAGCAAGAGTGGGAAAAGGGGATGTATATCATGTTTGTGTTGTTGTCTTGCCTATAAATTCCCTACAAAGCTCATGGCTTTCATAGGAGTTTTAAACTTCCCCCAGGTTCAGATGATGCTTGTTAAAGCAGAGTTTCTCAAACTTTAATGTGCATATGAATGGCCTGAGAAGCTTGATAAAGTGAATGTTATGTTTCAGTACATCTGGGATGGGCTCCAAGATCTTGTTTCTAACAGGTGTTTGGGTCGTGCCATTGCGGCTGGTCACCAAAACACACTTTGAGAAGCAAAGTTCTGAAGAACACAAAATAGCTCCTCATTTACTTGGTGAACTAGTAATTGGGCACCTACTACTAGACATAAGGCAGCGTACTAGCACTGGAGGTACCAGGAGATGGGAAGAAATGTAAAGAGGAAGATGCAGTTCTTTGCCTCAAATCCAGCTGGATATGCCTCATTACTATGTCTAGGCACTTGGCTTAAATTGCCTTAATTCTTACAATTTATAATCTCTACAGTGTATACTGTTGTTCTCCTTTTACTTGTTAAGAAACTGGAGCTCATTCAGCTTAACTGTCTTATCCAAACCAGTGAAAGGATGCTGTGAGATTTGAGCTGAGGGCTCCCTGACTCCGAGGCCTGTGTTTTCCCCATGCACTTCTCTCACACCTGGCCTTGATGCACTTTTCACCAAGCGCCCAGATGGAAGGGCAAGGAGAGCCCTTAAAACAGACCTCAGTAGCCCGAGGGGAAGGACGTGGGGTGGCAGCCGGCAGAAGGCACTAAGTAACCACCAGAGAGGGGAATTAGGACCTAGCAGGTGCCTCAAGGCTGCCTTCCTTGGGTCTCTGGCTGTTACAGGTAATATATTTCCTAATGTGGCGGATCAAATGCAGCCTACACTAGTAAATTTCAACCACAAATTATAGCCTGAACTTTGTCACCAAATGGCTGTGTGACTTTGGATAAATCATTGCCCTCACCTGGATTCAGAATTGGGAGCTCTTTAATTCCTTTTCTCTCTGACAAAATGTTTCTGAGCTCTCTTCCATTCTTCCCGTCAAGTCAGGGTGAACGCCTCTTTGTTACGTCCCCACTTGGGGTTCCCCCAGCCCCAACTTCTTAGCTCAGGACTGGGAGTTTCTGTGGATCACTCTGCAGTCTTCCTACTTTCTTTTTTATTTTTTTTAATATTTATTATTTATTTATGGCTGCGTCACATCTTAGTTGCAGCACGTGGGCTCTTTGTTGCAGCATGCAGGCTTCTCTCTAGTTGCGGCACGCAGGCTCAGTAGTTGCAGCATGTGGGCTCTCTAGTTGTGGCACATGGACTCTAGAGCACGCGGGCTTAGTTGCCCTGATGCATGTGGGATCTTAGTTCCCCAACCAGGGTTCAAACCTGCGTCCCCTGCATTGGAAGGTGGATTAGTAACTACTGGACCACCAGCGAAGGCCAGTATTCCTACTTTCCCTCCTAACTTCACACATGTTTATTGAGCACAGCTCTGCCCCAGATGCTGTGCTGAGGGCTGGAGATGCAAAGGCAATGAGATGCATTCCATCTCTCAGCAGAGTGGCCCCAGGGCACCTAACCCAGCACAGGCAGGGGCAAGCAGGGCTGAGTGGGCAGATTCCCCACATGCCAGGGCTTCATCCCCCAGCAACCCTTTGAGGTGAATGCTCTTATCATCCCCATTTTAAAGATGAAGAAACTGAGGCTTACGGAGATCAAGTTACTGTCCCAAATAATTAAGGATCAAATGAAATAATGTATGCAAAAAACTTAGCAGAGTGTCCAACAAGTAGGAAATAAATGGTAACTAAAATGCCTTCTTTAAATGGCAGAACAGGGAGTAAGAGCCAGTTAGCCTCACTCTCAGAGACAACAAACTGGAGAGTTGGAGAAAGGCCTCTTGTCTCCCCTGGAGGACGAAGACCAGGCTTGGGACGGACCACGCATGATGAGAAAACTGCTGAGGAAAGCAGCAAAATAACCATCAAAAAAGAGCTTGACAGGGTCCAAAGCACCCCAGTGCACACGTGAGGGCAGTGTGAGCTCTGATGGTGGTGACAGCGATTAGTCATGCTGGGGGAGGTTCGGATAGCCCAGCGCCCTTTGTCCTTCCTAGATGGCTGCTCACCCCAGGCTCAGCTATTCCATGTTTCAGCTGTCACGCTCCCCATCTGGGTAATGGAGTGTTATGAAGCATGTTGGAGGCCATCAATTAGTGCTTAACTCCATGTCTGTTGGGCTGTATTTCCAAGGATGCTCCACTCAGATCCACAGCAGAGGTAAATCTTTCTCCTTTTCATTCGATGGCTTGGAATTAAAATGCTGCCTAACAGGTTCTCACAGAGAAATTGAGATTTATGGGTCACTGTCAATATCAACACATGTTGGCCATTATTTGAAAGCCTCCTAGCTCCTCAGGACTGATTGCTATTTACTTTGAAAGATGCATGTGGCTTTATAATCCACTCGGGTTGCTGCATGTGTTTCTTCCCTTGGAGACTTTTTTATTCCATTTCATGCTGTTTTGCCTGGTGGTGTAAGCCCCATCCTGCCCCCAACCCTTGAATACTCTGATGTATTTGAGGCACTGGAACAACCAGTGCATCCTCAGTCCAGATGCTAGTGTCATAATAGGGAAGGAGCACCTTAGTAGCAAAATTACCCCTATTTCATGGACTGAAGCCACTAAACATGATCTGAGGCCAGAGTTGAGACCACCAAGGAGCTTGCTTGAGGAGCAATAGGTGGTCCCCTCATGAACACTTCTGGCCTTTTGTGTGGCTGGGCAGGGTGTGGAAACTGATACAGTAGCTGAATCACTTAGGTCAGTGGTTTTGACATTGGTTCTCAAACTTGAGCCAGCATCAGAATTGCCAGGAAGATTTGTTAAAACATGGATTGCTGGGCCCCACTCCAGACTTCCTGGTTCAGTAGGCCTAGGGTAGGGCCCAGGACTTAGCATTTGTAACAAGATGCCAGGTGATGCTAATACTGATGTTCGTCCTGGGTCCCACTTGAAGAACCACTTTAGAAGTATTACAGGCCATGAGTGGGGGAGATGAAGATGCTGGCAATGTTTGTCATTCCAGGAAAAGAGTAACAACATCTAGAGAGGAATTTTTATTAAGTTTTGCTGGACAATGTATAATTTAAATCCCTTTCTATGAAATCTTCAGTTGAAGATCAATTTCCATTAATAAGCTGTAAAGCTGGATCTATTTTGGTAATGCATTGAAGTGCTGATGGGTCTGGGACCACCCAGGCCACCCATCAGTGGTGTGCTATAGCTAGGTTACTAGGAGGTCATGGTCTGGCTGCTGGCATGTTTTGACAACTTTATTGGGTGACAACTGTAAGGAGATTCCTTGTGTTGATAACAGAACCTGTGGTGCTGGTTCACACACAATTGGTCCCTAAGAGATTTTTCCCTGCAATAGTCAGGATTTGCAGGTGAAACTGGACCCAGGGCAATAAAGGGACACAGTCTAAAGACTCCAGGAGCTCCATGTTGAATACCAGAGGGTCATTGGAGACAGATAATAGCTTTTTTTTTTTTTTTTTTGCATCAGACCTTACTTTGTAAGTCACAAGGCTCCAAATGCCCCAGGAAATGTGCTAGAAAGAGCCATTGTGTACTGAAGTCAGGCTGCCCCAAGCCTTCCCCATCAAAATCCATTGGACTGGGCAAGTCATCACTTGGGATTCATTACTTGCAGGAGGATATCCCCAGAGCAATCAAAAGGCCTGATTCTTACAGGGTTGGGAGGCTGTTACTAAGACAGATATTACAGTGGGGATGAAGGAAAGTCAATATATTTGGAGATGTGAAAAAGGTAGATAAGAATACCCAACGATTGATTGTATTAGTTTGGACTTCTGGTCATAAGAACAGAAATCCAATTCAAATTAACTTAAGCAAAAAGGGGAATTTATTTACTCACATAACAGGGATGTCCAAAGTACAGGCTACAGGTACAGTTGAATCTATGCCTATAACAAAGACACAATGTCTGTCAATTCTCTCGCTTTCTCCCTTTTTCTCGCTTTCCCCCACTCCTTGATGGCACTTGAGAGTTCCATCACTCCTTAGAGCTTAAAATTCCAGAGAGATTATAATATTTTATCACATACCTCTGACAAACATTCCAGAAAGGACTCTGCTTGGCTGGGGGCTCATCTCTAAGTAGACAACTATGGCCAGGAGGATGGGCTCTCCAACTGGCCTGGTTTGGGAAGCATGCCCACCCCTTGGGTAGGATCAGCTCTACCCAAACCCAACTGATCAAGATCCACATAGGAAAGGTGCTTCCTCTGAACAGGAGATGTCAGCCTGACCACAGAGGACTGGCTGTGCAGCTTGAGGATGGCGGGGGATGCAAGGATGACTCCTGCTTCCTCAGGGGCAATCAGAATGATTTCTCTGTTCCTCTTACACACACTTGACCATGCACACTGGGACCCTGCTCAAAGGCCTGCTGTAGCAGCTAGTCTACCTGGGCAGACCTGGCCTCAGGAGCATGGGGAAAATCCTGGATGACCTTACAGACTCAGCTGTTTGTAGAGCAATGGATTTGCAATTAGTTCTTTAACACATAGGAGCACCAATGCCACTTTCAAGCCTTTCTTCCTCCCCGAGGAAACTACATGGATGAAATAAATAAAATCAGCATTTTTATTGGCTTCTTAGGAAGCTCAGGAGCCTATTTTCAAGGCTGTGTTAAATACACACTTCCAGAGACCTTCAAGATGGCAGAGGAGTAAGACATGGAGATCACCTCCCTCTCCACAAATACATCAGAAATACATCTACATGTGGAACAACTCCTGCAGAACACCTACTGAACGTTGGCAGAAGACCTCAGACTTTCCAAAAGGCAAGAAACTCCCCACATACCTGACTGTGTGGCTGTCAGGGTCTTGGTGCTCCGGCCAAGTGTCAGGCCTGCGCCTCTGAAATGGGAGACTGAGTTCAGGACACTAGACCACCAGAGACCTCCTGGACCCATGTAATATCAATCGGCAAAAGCTCTACCAGAGATCTCCATTTCAATGCCAAGACCCAGGTCCACTCAATGACCAGCAAGCTACAGTACTGGACACCTTATGCCAAACAACTAGCAAGACAGGAACACAACCCCACCCATTAGCAAAGAGGCTGCCTAAGATCATAATAAGTTTACAGACACCTCAAAACACACCACCGGACGTGGTCCTGCCCACCAGAAAGACAAGATCCAGGCTTATCCACCAGAACACAAGCACCAGCCCCCTCCACCAGGAAGCCTACACAACCTGCTAAACCAACCTTAGCCACTGGGGGCAGACACCAAAAACAACGGGAACTACGAACCTGCAGCCTGCGAAAAGGAGACCCCAAACACAGTAAGTTAAGCAAAACGAGAAGACAGAGAAACACACAGCAGGTGAAGGAGCAAAGTAAAACTGCACCAGACCAAACAAATGAAGAGGAAATAGGCAGTCTACCTGAAAAAGAATTCAGAGTAATGACAGTAAGATGATCCAAAATCTTGGAAATAGAATGGAGAAAGTACAAGAAACGTTTAGCAAGGACCTAGAAGAACTAAAGAGCAAACAAACAGTGATGAACAATAAATGAAATTAAAAATTCTCTAGAAGGAATCAATAGCAGAATAACTGAGACAGAAGAGCGGATAAGTGACCTGGAAGATAAAATAGTGGAAATAACTACCGCAGAGCAGAATAAAGAAAAAAGAATGCAAAGAATAGAGGACAGTCTCAGAGACCTCTGGGACAACATTAAACACACCAACATTCGAATTATAGGGGTCCCAAAAGAAGAAGAGAAAAAGAAAGGGACTGAGAAAATATTTGAAGAGATTACAGTTGAAAAATTCCCTAATATGGGAAAGGAAATAGTCAATCAAGTCCAGGAAGTGCAGAGTCCTATACAGGATAAATCCAAGGAGAAAAACGTCAAGACACATATTAATCAAACTATAAAAAATTAAATACAAAGAAAAAATATTAAAAGCAGCAAGGGAAAAAAACAAATAACATAGAACGGAATCCCCATAAGTTTAACAGGTGATCTTTCAGCAGAAACTCTGCAAGCCAGAAGGGACTGGCAGGACATATTTAAACTGATGAAAGGCAAAAACCTACAAGCAAGATTACTCTACCCAGCAAGGATCTGATTCAGATTCAACGGAGAAATTAAACCCTTTACAGACAAGCAAAAGTTAAGAGAATTAAGCATCACCAAACCAGCTCTACAACAAATGCTAAAGGAACTTCTATAGGCAGGAAACACAGAGAAGGAAAAGACCTGCAATAACAAACCCAAAACAATTAAGAAATTGGTAAAAGGAACATACATATCGATAAATACCTTAAATGTAAATGGATTAAATGCTCCAACCAAAAGACATAGGCTGGCTGAATGGATACAAAAACAAGACCCATATATAGGCAGTCTATAAGAGACCCACTACAGACCTAGCGACATATACAGACTGAAAATGCGGGGATGGAAAAAGATATTCCATGCAAATGGAAATCAAAAGAAAACCTGAGTAGCAATTCTCATATCAAATAAAATAGACTTTAAAATAAAGACTATTACCAGAGACAAAGAAGGACACTACATAATGATCAACGGATCAATCCAAGAAGAAGATAGAACAATTGTAAATATTTATGGACCCAGTCACTCCCATCAGGAAACTTGCACAAGCCTCTTAGATAGCCTCTTCCACCAGAGGACAGACAGCAGAAGCAAGAAGAACTACAATTCTACAGCCTGTGGAACAAACACCACATTCACAGAAAGATAGACAAGATGAAAAGACAGAGGGCTATGTACCAGATGAAGGAAAAAGATAAAACCCCAGAAAAACAACTAAATGAAGTGGAGATAGGCAACCTTCCAGAAAAAGAATTCAGAATAATATTAGTGAACGTGATCCAGGACCTCAGAAAAAGAATGGAGGCAAAGATCGAGAAGATGCAGGAAATGTTTAACAAAGACCTAGAAGAATTAAAGAACAAACAAACAGAGATGAACAATACAATAACTGAAATGAAAACTACACTAGAAGGAATCAATAGCAGAATAACTGAGGCAGAAGAACGGATAAGTGACCTGGAAGACAAAATGGTGGAACTCACTGTCATGGAACAGAATAAAGAAAAAGAATGAAAAGAAATGAAGACAGCCTAAGAGACCTCTGAGACAACATTAAACGTAACAACCTTCACATTATAGGGGTCTCAGAAGGAGAAGAGAGAGAGAAAGGACCCGAGAAAATATTTGAGGAGATTGTAGTCAAAAACTTCCCTAACATGGGAAAGGAAATAGTCACCCAAGTCCAGGAAGCACAGAGAGTCCCATACAGGATAAACCCAAGGAGAAACACGCCAAGACACATAGTAATCAAATTGTCAAAAATTAAAGACAAAGAAAAATTATTGAAAGCAACAAGGGAAAAAGGACAAATAACATACAAGGGATATCCCATAAGGTTAACAGCTAATTTCTCAGCAGCAACTCTACAAGTCAGAGGACAGTGGCATGATATATTTAAAGTGCTGAAAGGGAAGAACCTATAACCAAGATTACTCTACCTGGCAAGGATCTCATTCAGTATTGACGGAGAAATCAAAACCTTTACAGACAAGCAAAACCTAAGAGAGTTCAGCACCACCAAACCAGCTCTACAACAAATGCTAAAGGAACTTCTCTAGGCAAGAAACACAAGAGAAGGAAAAGACTTATAATGACGAACCCAAAACAATTAAGAAAATGGGAATAGGAACATACATATCAATAATTACCTTAAACGTGAATGGATTAAATGCTCCAACCAAAAGACACAGGCTAGCTGAATGGATACAAAAACAAGACCCATATATATGCTGTCTACAAGAGACCCACTTCAAACCGAGGGACACATACGACTGAAAGTGAGGAGATGGAAAAAGATATTCCATGCAAATGGAAATCAAAAGAAAGCTAGAGTAGCAATACTCATATCAGATAAAATAGACTTTAAAATAAACAATGTTACAAGAGACAGGAAGGGCACTACATAATGATCAAGGGATCAATCCAAGAAGAAGATATAACAATTTTAAATATATATGTACCCAACATAGGAGCACCTCAATACATAAGGCAACTGCTAACAGCTATAAAAGAGGAAATCGACAGTAACACAGTAACAATAATAGTAGGATACGTTAACACCTCACCTACATCAATGGACAGATCATCAAAACAGAAAATTAATAAGGAAACACAAGATTTAAATGACACAACAGACCAGAGAGATTTAAATGATATTTATAGGGCATTCCATTCAAAAACAGCATATTACACTTTCTTCTCAAGTGCACATGGAACATTCTCCAAAATAGATCACATCTTGGGTCACAAATGAAACCTCAGTAAATTTAAGAAAATTGAAATCATATCAAGCATCCTTTCTGACTATGACGCTATGAGATTAGAAATCAATTACAAGGAAAAAAAAAGTAAAAAACACAAACACATGGAGGTTAAACAATACATTACTAAATAACCAAGAGATCACTGAAGAAATCAAAGAGGAAATTAAAAAATACCTAAAGACAAATTACAACGAAAACACGATGATCCAAAACCTATGGATGCAACAAAAGCAGTGTTAAAAGGAAAGTTTAGAGCACTATAGGCCTACCTCAAGAAACAAGAAAAATCTCAAATAAACAATATAAACTTACATCTAAAGGAACTAGAGAAAGAAGAACAAACAAAACCCAAAGTTACTAGAAGGAAAGACATCATAAAGATCAGGGCAGAAATAAATGAAATAGAAACAAAGAAAACAATACCAAGATCAATAAAACTAAAAGCTGATACTCTGAGAAGATAAACAAAATTGATAAACCATTAGTCAGACTCATCAAGAAAAAGAGGGAGAGGACTCAAATCAATAAAATTAGAAATGAAAAAGCAGAAGTTACAACAG